CACACACACACACACACACACACACCACATACACCACACATACACCCTGTGTCAGAAGAGTCCTGTTTGGCCCTCAGGAAGATTTTTTTGAGCTGTCAGGTCAATTCAGTGCACTTCCTTCATCCCGTTATAGCAGACGTCAGGGCGAATCACCCCTCAGGAAGCTCAGGTACCAGAATAATTGGAGCTCTTTTCAAAAAAAGAAAAGATTGAGTTTGTGGAGCAGTTCTTAAAAGTGCTTCTCTGTTTATCCAGGTACCTGGGAATGATAGGGAGCCCTGATGGTTTATCCAGGTACCTGGGAACGATAGCAAGCCCTGATGCTATCAAGATGTCACCCTCATAATGATGCACGATGTGGCAAGACAGAGGCTGTTTTTCCTGCTGCTTTTCCCAGGGTTCCCAGGGTAGCTTTCAGAAAACAAGACATCAGCTCTGTGAAGCAACACCCCTAGAGCTTATTCAAAGAACTGTGGTCGCAACAGAGAGAGACATTTGGAAGTTATCAGATCTGTTTTTTCCCCTTCTGGCAGGATGACACCATCCCTACGCCATGTTGTAGGAGACGACTCATGGGCTCTGATGCACTAGCTCACTGTTGCTCCGCTGGTAACATTAACTGTCTGTGCCACGCCTGGCTTAGGTTCTTGCATTCCCAGAAAGAATACAGCTTTCATAGGGCCGTAAAACAACCAGACAGGGGCTATAATTAGCAGAATGAATTAAATGTTACAAGCACATGGAAGAAGCCATAACCAAGCTCACCTGGACACAGTGTGTCTGAAGGATGGGAAAATAAAGAAGGAGTATCAAAACAATGTCTCAGAGAAGTGCTGATTTTATGGAGAGTATGAAGAATAAATTGAGTATTTCCTGGCAGAGATAGTTAAGGAAGTTATTCCAGGTTGCCTCAGTTTAAGAAGTATGAGGCTGGAACATCACGCCATGGTTGAAGGAGGAGGAAAAATATCCCTCAGTGAGTGTGTAGATGATAAAGAGGAGGGAGAGACATTTAGAAAAGTAGATGGGGACAGATCTTAAATGATTCACTGTGTTGCAATGAGAATTTTTATAAGGATTTGGATTTTCTCCTCAAGGCAATGAGGAGCATTCAAGTGTTTTAAGAAGGGCAGCAGCGAGATAAGATTTATCACTTAGAAAGATCACTCTGGCACTGCTTGGAAGCAAAACTGGAGGCTAGCCAAAACAGAGACAGAGGTATGAGGAAGCCTCTATTTGCCACCAGGTAGGAGGGGAATGGGACTGTTTCTGGGATGGAAAAAGGGGGTTAAAACTGGTAGAGATGCAGAAGAAAGACCAAACAAAACCTGCTGTTTGTGGAAGCAGGAAACACGAGAGGACAAGTTTTACCATGAGTAAAATCGCACGAACAAAGTGACAGAGGAAGAGGTCTGATCTGCTACCCAAACACTTGAGGGAGAAAAAGACCAGAGAGGACGCCTAGACGAGAAAGACTGATAAAGAGTTGATGGATAGAGATGAGAATATTTGGAGGGGGAGCTGGTAAATAGCATCGAATGGGACAGAGAGGTTGAGCAGGATTAAGTTGACCTGAGTTTATGGATTGGCCATGGAATAGATGAATAATGTCGTACAAGGGTAGGCAGGGGGAAGACAGTGAATTATTTTAATAAAAGTGAGTATGTATACATGAGTATGTTTGTATCTGTGTGTGAATACGTGTGCATGTGTGGAGGGGTGTGTGTGTGTGTGTGTGTGTGTGTGTGTGTCGTGCATGGAATTGCTGTTCCAGAGAGAGAAGAGCTAAGCTTTTCACACTGAACCTAGTGAGCAGAGTTCTTCACACCAAATCTAACCAATCTGTAAAGGAGGATGGAGATGAGGACCACAGGTTTCAAGTGTGCTTTGAAGGCTCCTGATCTGTGGCTGCAGGGAGACTTGGCTCCCTCAAAGAGGAGGGGGGATAGCACTCTCCTAGATGGCCAAGTGGTAAGGCAGAGAAGGCAGAAATCATTGAGTATTTTCACGACTCTTTCTCCTAAGAAACACGAACTAGCTCAGCTCCTGTCAGTGAGTAGCTGCAGGGTGGTGTCTATGGATCAAGGATCAAACTGCAGAGTTTGTCACTCTGGAGAGCCACAGGCAATGTGTGGGGTCCATTTGAGCTGGAAATCATTAATGGCTACGTCCTGCCCCAGGCTACTACATCTCTTGTGAGTCCCCATGCATTCTTCAAAGTTCAGCCTGGCCATCTTTTATTTTATTCCATGATCTGTGGTAGAACTCATCCCAATATTTTACCCCCTTTTGAATCTCTAGATTTGAATGGCTGGAGTTTACAGCATGTTTAATAACTGTTTTCTAGAGACATGGGTATTACATGGAACACCATGCTCTAATTCCTAGAAGAAGAGCCAAAGCTAACTTAAGTACATTTTTTTAAAGTTACTGAAGTTAGTTTTCCCTTCTCGTATATCTTCTTTTATCCCTTGATTTTACCTTTTGGCATCTTTACTAATTTTTTAAATTATCAGTTTCCCAAGTCATTATTGGTTCCTTTCATCTTTAAAGCAGTCATTTACCTGTTACGGTGGTGCACAGCTAAAACCTCTGGTCTTCAGTTCAACGTCAGCCTGGGCCTCCAGAGCGAATTCTAAACTAGCCAGGGTTACACAATAAGACCCTGCTTTCAAAAGGGTCCAAAGGAGTCGTCTTTGCTCTCAGCTAGGCTGTCGTTTCTACCAAAGCTTCATTTCCATCATTAAAGTCAGCAGCACTTACAATACGACTTCTGTCAAACATGTTTGCTATAAAAATGGAAGGCAGTGCCCTGGGCCTGGTGAGGTCAACGAAAAGCTACCCCAGACCTACTTTCTGTGTGGCTCTGCCTCAGCATCTCTGTTAATTTCCTCCTCTAGCATCTCAAGGAGAAAAGCCGCCATCATCTACCCACTTTTCCCTTCCTGGGAATCAGCTGACTTTGCCCATTATTTGAGAAAGGAATGAGAAAAATCAATACATGGCACACTTCTTTAATACATGCTGAGCAAGTGTGTATATGTAGGGTATCCATGCTGCAAAGTACCAATCGCACACCGCTCTTCCTTCCCTCTATGGCAAGGTCTTTGCTCCCCGTTCTCAGCAGCTGTGAGTTTTACCAGAGCTGGTGCTGACAGGAGAGAGCCTCGAAGGTTCTCTCCAAGTCTGCTGCATTTATTAGTGTCAATACCGAGCCAATATTCCTTTTAAATAACCATGGAAAGTCTACCATGAAGTGGTGGCTGTGCATCTGTGTAAGCTGAGACCAACAGGAGGAGATGAAGTGCCTGCAGAGAAAGAGGGAAGCTTTGAACCAAGAACAAAGCGGAGACACCAGGCAGTGTAAGTTCTAGCCAGCCACCAGAGGCAGCTCCCCTCTGTCTAAGCTTGAGGCTTTTTTTGCAGGCGACCTTCCTTGAATATGCTGCCACTTTTTGTGTGTGTGTGAATAATTCTGGATGGTACGTCTAGCTTTAGAAAGGTGATCATCCTCGGAACCAATAACATTGTTTCCCTTTGAAGCAAACCCATGCTTCTGCTGTTCTTAGCTGCTGTGCAGAAAACCATCCATAACATTCTTTTGATTGACAGGAGTGCCGCTGCCAACATAGGGAACTCGGGCCTTCCGTTCTGTCATTTCTTCTAAATCAATGTTTTCATATCATTTGTATTTTTAGGAGGAATCTATGGAAATTGGCAAATATTCAAGGCTGGGTTTGCCTGGTGGGTGCTGAAACTCTTCGGTCCCTGAGCCTTCCACACCTGGCTCCACCACTCCCTTACCCACTGTCAGAGCCACAGAGATGTGGCATCTGGGGTTTCAATCTGCTCTTTACCATGACAGTTCACCCACCACTCAAAGTGAACGGACGCAGGAAAACAAAGAGCCCCACCACCATCTCTTCTTCTCCAGGTTCTCTGGCTCCTTTGCCTTTTCTATTTCTACTTAACTTTTTTCTTTTTCTTCCTTTCCCTCATAAACCATTATTCATAACAAGGTTATGTCCAAATTAAGATTTTTTTTTTTTTGAAGGAAAGAAGGAGGGTAGGAAGGGAGGAGGAGGAAGTGGTACAAACTCTTGGACTTGGTCTTGTTTTTACAACAAGGTTTTCAAAAACACTGCCTTCTGAGCTGACACCACGTGTAGAAAAAGCAGCCTCGGGAGTACGTTGCAAAATAACAATGTGCTTGGGATGGCAGAATTTCACTTTGTGTGGTCATCACCCCTAAACATTGTTTCTTTTCTTTTGCTAATAACATTAGAGAATGCTGATAAAGTCAGCTGAAAGAGTCAAAAGAGGAAAACTCATAAATTACAGCCTTCCACTAACTCACAGAGACACAAACATGCATACTGGCAAATCGCAAAAAAACTGCAGGACACAAGTTCTGTGATATAAAAGGTAGGCGTTTTTATACTTAGCCTCCTCGAGCCAGGTGGAGGGCTTGAAATGAATCCTGCCTGATCGCTATCTAAATCAACTCAGATAATGCCAGTTCACATATACTGTTAAGTTATTAGTGGAAGAAAAAACAAGAAAAGAAAAAACAAGAATGGTGAGGGAGAGCCCTGGCAAACCCTTCAGACTCAAGGCAGAGGGGCTGGAGGCGTGGCTTAAAAGATAAAAGCTCCTACCCAGCCCGGCCGCGGGAATTTAAAGCCTGCAGCGGCGACGCAAACAACGTCTGTAGTCCCTGCGCCCCCTACTGGCTATGGAAGGTGGAGACGGAAGACTCCTTAGAAGCTCGCAGTCAGTTAACTTATTAGACCCCGTCTCAAACGAGGTAGAAAGATGACATCACACTCCCAGAAGGCGTCTTCTGGCCTCCATATGAACACTCAAACACAGCTATATGCACACTCACATATCCCCCACACAATCAAAATTTAACAATAATAAAAACGATGAGATGTTGACACTAGGTCTACCTATACAACTCACCCAGGGTAGTTTGTTTCTGGAGCCCCACTCATGCATCTTCTTGCGCCAAGTGGAGGACCGTGACTTCTTCTGCTTAGGCATTCCTTTGAGGACTGGAGCATCCTGCAAGAGATGTGTGCTGCTCTCAGCCTTGGTTTGCCAAGCTTTTGGCAGTGGGAAGTAGTTAATGCCAACTCAAAAGCGATCAAGATGCTGAGGTATAATGCCTCTCACGCCCACCCACCAAGGCTTATGGGTCAGCACAGAAGTGGAGTTGAAAGGGCATGTTGAATAGCATGCGGAGCGGTGCTGGACTTGCGTATCTGTTGCAACGCCAACTTGAAGCACCTGTAAATACCTACCCTTGACTTGCACAGGATCAAGCCAGTTAAAATTTCCATCTTGGATTGGGGAAGGACTGCTGAAATCCCACTGAGAAGCTATTGGCTATTGAGAAAGGAGAGTCACTTTTTATTTGGGGGCAGGATAGGCTGCCTCATACCTGTGGTAAACTCCACACCTGTGCACATGTGAGGAGCACTAACAAAAGCTAAAAGGAAGAGGACGTGAAGTTGGGAGGAAGCTGTGTTGGAAAGTTCTGAGGGGAGTTTGTAGGAGGAAGTTGGGAGTGTATGTTATCGCAGTACACTGGATACATGTATGAAATCTTCTAATAATTATTTTTATAATTTTTATTATACTGAAGCTCAAAGCAGGAGCAATGCTGGTTAAGGGGATGAGGCTCCCCTGCCCCAAGCCTTCTTCTGTCCCTTTCTTCGACCCATCCAAACCAAAACATACTTAATTATCCCCTTCCTCCTCCCCCCGTTCCCCCTTTCATCTCCTCTTCCTCATCTCCTTTTTTTTTTTCCATTGTGTCTGGTGATTTCTTTTGTTAACAATCTTCCTTATTTTCCTCTTTTCCAGGTGAAGCCCTAGACTCTAAAGATGCTCCCTCCCTCCGCTCTCCCCCAGCCACAGGCAGACTTGGGGATAATCCTGTCACTCTCACCATCTTAGACCTTTTCATTGATGTGTGGGTTGACGACATCATTAGTTGTCAACTTGTGACACTTTAGAGAGGAAAGGGGAGGTGCTGTGGGGACTGCTGCTGGCACCCTGCGACTCACACACTTTCTCCAGTTGCTCCTTATAGGTCACTGGGGCCGCAGGCCCAGTGACATCTTATTTTCATTGCCCCTTTTACTCCACACGGTATATCCACTTTCAGCAAGTACTCTGCTTCTCCAGAACGAGAGAGGAGGTGGAGACACACATTTCAACTATTTCTTCTACAGGTACATGGTTAGAAGACTGGATTCTGAAAAGCATAGAGCAGTGCATGCAGGCTCCTGTCATGCCATCCATCTTGCGTCTGTTTTACACTCCTTTGGGGTCCTCAGGGAGCTCTGTATTTGGGGCACCTAGGCAGAACTTCAAGTACAGAAAAAAAAAACACAAAAAGACATATATTGTAAAGAATGTGATATATACAAGAGAACCTGTAAAACGTTTATATAACCAGCAATTAAAAAAATAATGCCTGCATTTTTGAAACCTTATTTGTAAATCTCAGCAATTGTGTTCCATTTCCTTCTCATTGCTAGAGTTAGCTAATGTCTTTAATTTCCTATACAGTTTATGCTGTGAACCAGCCTTACTTTACCGGTTTACTCACCCCAGCCTGTGTATGTGTGTGTGTGTGTGTGTGTGTGTGTGTCCATGTGTGTGTCCGTGTGTGTGTGTGTGTGTGTATCCTCAATAACATCTCTCTGCCTCGGGGAGTCAGATGATACTTCCATGTAATAAGTAGAGAGAACTGTCATTCTTTCTCATATTAGAACAGACTGTTCTTTTTAGGGGAAAAACACCTAATAAAATATGATGTGTTTTTCAAATATTTAGCCAAGGAGAACATCAACACGTGTATAAGGGAAGAGATTTAGAAGGAAACCCCAGCACTCGAATTCCACTGCTTGTCCCTTTGTTGACCACTTCCTTCTATTTTGTGATCAACATTCTGCCCTCTGTTATGTAGAGCTATACGAACAGCTCATGTTCTGAGGAAGTGGTGAGTGACGTGGGATTTCCCACAGAGGGCAGTCCTGTGGGCCAGGGTGGGTGAGGTGAAATCACTCGCTGTATAAGACATGCTGGCAAGGCCGTTGTCCTGCAAAGTCCCGTCCTTTTCCCCGAATCCCACCTGGGGTGCCCAGGGCCCTTGCTCGTTTGTTATCCCCTTGGACATTTCAAACAAATATTTTCCGCAGATTAAGCTTAAAATGGAGCTTTAAAAAACATTTCCTACCAAACTGGTGATGTGGCAAAGAAACAAAGGTATCTCAAGGGTCTCTGAACAGAAGCAGGCGGGACAGTGGTGGGAATGTATTGGTTCATACGGCAGAGGGGTTTAGATATACACATGCAGAATAACAACCAGCTGGTCACCCGCATTCCCGCCCCTCAGTTTTAGAAATAGAATTTCATCTGCAGGATTTGTATGGTTTTTTGTACTGATGCTCACCCCAGAGGCAACCATTGCAAAACTTTATGTCAGTCACCCGCTGGTTTTCTTTTATAGTACACACATTCAGCCTAAGTAAAATGCAATTTAGTTTTTGACTTCGGTGGGAATTTATAGATATGGCATCTTACATTTTACTTCCTGAAACTTATTTTCTTTTGGTCAAAACTTTGCTTTAGGTGTTCCCTTGTGTCAGCGCGCTCATAGACAATCTTCAGGGTCATATGGTAGTCCTTCATACAAATTAATGGATTCTGCTTTTTACAGACATCTCACTGTGCCAAGTAAGGTCACTCCAAAGAGAGAGCACACATATGGGAGAGGATGGAAATCTGGGGTAGTTGCTTCCTGGTGCACATACTCAAGGTTCTTAGAAGAGAAACTCAGGCTTGCTAGGTCACATGCTATGAATATGCAACTTTCCAGGGGATGTAAACCTGTTTTCCAAAGTTATAGAGTATATATAAATGCCCGCCAGTCATTGCTCAACAACTTCAGAACATGCGCTGGTGCCGGGCTCTTTTGTTGTTTCTAATCTTGGGAATGTGAGCTGAAACCCCACTGTCCTGCCTACTTGCCTTTCTCTCCTTGCTGGAGGAGATAAGCGGCCTTCCTGGGTGTTGTGAGCCATATATCTCCTTTCTTTGGAATTTCTTCTGGGGACTTTTTACTGATTCATTTTTTTTTTGTTAAGCTTTTTCTCCTTTTTATAATAATCCATTGAAACTCATTAAATACAATAGGCCCAGGGACAGGTTAAGCATTTTAGCTTATGTGCATTTTATTTACTTTTATACATTGTACTTGGTATAATTATGTTTTATTGCTTTGTGGCATATTATTTTACTCTCCTAATGGACCTCACTTGTGTCCATTGTCTTAAACTCTGCAGTACTTCAAAATTTCATTTTTGATACATCTCCTGTTTTCTTGGGGTTATGTGGTTTGGGCTCCCATATTTGTTTTCAATCTTCAAGTTCAAGGCTTAAATTTAGTGTAAAGAGATAGTGTAATTAAAGGTTTTAAAGAGTAGTTATAACATATTCTCTCTCTCTCTCTCTCTCTCTCTCTCTCTCTCTCTCTCTCTCTCTCTCTCTCTCTCTCACACACACACACACACACACACACACACACACTCCTTATCTTCTTTTTATTAGCCTTAAACACTACCCCTGCCAAAAGTTTCCAGTGCCTGTGGATTTCTTTCTTCCTATGTTTCTATTCTTTTGCTCTAGCTTATTAACGTGCAACATCATCTTGATAATAATTTTTATCATAATTGCATAATACATCTCTATGCCTGAGGGCTAAATTATTCTCATTTTTTTAACTTTAGAGCATGGACATATTAGCTGTGCGTTATCCTTTACTCTTTCACATAAATTTCAAAATCAGCTTCCTCTGATTCACGAAAAGCCTTGTTGGAGACATCTCTGCTGGGGTCTTGTCTTGCAGGTCCGTCTGAACAGAGCAATTTATTATACAGATATTTTTACTCAAGAATGGGACATATTTCCCATTAATTGTGCTCTTTTCCATATGTCTTGGAGATTTTTTATTAGAATTATTCTTACCTGCTTTATATAATTTATCATTTTTGTAAAAAAACTATGCCAAATTACCCCTTTTCTTTAAGTTTTTAAAATTTATTTAGTTTATTTTTGACAAATTTATTCATATGTAACATACCTGCTCATTATTATAACACCCATCTTCTCCGCTTCCCACTCCCATTTACCGCCACTCCTTATCAATGAGCCCCTCCCCACAGTCAGGTGCTATTGTTGTTGTCTTGTTTTCTTGGGTTTCCATGTTGATTTCCTTTGAGATCCACTGAGTATAACCAGGGTCATCTGTGTGCAGAGGTTTGGGAGTGAGTGCTGGAGCCTGGTGGGCTTCTCTATGACTGTGTCTGGATACCTCTGCTATGGAGAAAAGTAATATGCTTCGATAATTGATTTGACATTAATTCCTATTTTTAAATTAAACAATTGTTAATGTCTTGAATAATCATTCTAGATAATATCATCTCTTTACAATGAGAGGTTGAGGCTGGGTTGAGGTTCTACAGCTAATAGTAGAATTTTATCAAGCATGTGAGACACCAGGTTCTAGTTACAGAACTAAAAAAAATTAATACTGAAAAACTGATTCTTTATTTGCTTGTAATTTTCAAAATTTCTCTTTACTTTTCCTTCTGAGCATTGTACATGGGGCTTTTACTACATGGTGAGCAAATGGACACTGGTTGTGATGTTCGTGATCATAGAAGGAAGATTTGCATTTTATCATACATGGTGTTTATACTTTAATTCTGAAGATTGTTTCTCTGGCATTACAGATGTTTATTCCTACTTATTGATGGTTCATTTCTTTTTTCATTGGTGATCTCTATGTTTTATGGAGCATCTGCCCATTATGCAAACACAGTTATAATTTTACAGTTTAATCTTCTTTTAACTTGTTAAAGCAATTAATTACAGTAATCCTGACCTATGATTTCCCTATTTTGTTCTGTTCTTGGCTTATTTTTACTTCAAGGTTATGCAATTCTCATAAAATATGCTGGGAAATAATATGTCTTTTTCTGTTCTTGAAAAAAGCTTATGTAAGAAATGTTAACAGTAAAATCTGACATGAGGCTCTCTCTGGGAGTTGGTTTCTAACTACAGATTCAATTGTGGTCTTGACATATTAGAGATTTCTATTTCCTCCTGAGTTGTTTCTGTGTTTTTTAAAAGCTCATACAATTCTTTTATAAACTTCCTGGCCTAAAGTTACGCATAATATTTAACATTTTATTTTAGGCATTTTTGACAACAGAATTTGTTCTCTTTTCTGTCTCTGTTTTTCTCAATCTTCTCTGCTCTTTCCCCACACAGACTTTTTGGCAACCTTTCCAGAATTTTCTCTCTCTATAAAGCTTTTTGAAATTTAATTTCTATTTTTTATTTGCTTTTATACTTGTCTTATTTCATCTTCTTTGGATTTATTCTGTTGTTCTTTTTAAAAAGAATTAGGTTGGTATTTATACTATTTATTTTAAGCCTCACCTCCCCACCCCCAAGGATTACTTTTCTCTTTCTTAAGAATTTATTTATTTAGTGTACATTGGGATTTTGCTTGCATGTATATCTGTATGAGGGTGTCAGATCTCCTGGAACTGGAATTACAGACAGTTGTGAACGGACCCATGGGTGCTGGGAATTGAACCCGGGTCCTTTGGAAGAGCAACCAGTGCTCTTAACCACTGAGCCATCTCTCCTGTTCTCCTTCTAAGACTTGCTTTGATTATAGCCTACATTTTTTAAAAAATATATATATTTTACGAATTTCATATGCAAGTTCTATACTTACACCTTATCTCCCCTCCTCTCCTCTTTCCAACCCTTGTGACACCCACTCCACAAATTCATGCTTCTTATCCTTATTTATTATTTTTACATATACAAACATGTATAAGTTTCTAACTAACACCCACTGAGTTCATTACTTATATGTATACATGTTTCAGACTGACCACTTGAAGCTGGATAGCCTATCAGGAAGTTTATCCCCGGAGAAGCCTGGTTTTTCTCTCTTTTAAGCAGCCGTTGATGTATTACCCGTAGCTCTTCATCTAAGGTAGGAGCCTTTCTACATTAGCATTGTCATTTTCCAGGCATTGTTGAGTATTGTTGATTTCATGGTTGCAGCTTCTTTTTCATACATAGAACCCAGTGCCTCCCAGCAGACATTCTGGTTCTCTGGCCCTTATACTCTGCTCCCTCTTCTATGATGCTGCTGGGCTCCCTCTTCTGTGATGCTGCTGGACTCCCTCTTCTGTGATGCTGCTGGACTCCCTCTTCTATGATGCTGCTGGGCTCCCTCTTCTGTGATGCTGCTGGACTCCCTCTTCTATGATGCTGCTGGGCTCCCTCTTCTGTGATGATGCCCCTGGGCTGTCCCTCTTCTATGATGCCCCTGGACTCCCTCTTCTACGATGCTGCTAGGCTCCCTCTTCTATGATGCTGCTGGGCTCCCTCTTCTATGATGTTTCTGGGTTCCCTCTTCTATGATGATGCTCCTGGGCTCCATTTTCTATGATGGCCCTGGGCTCTCTCTCTTCTATGATGCTCCTGGACTCCCTCTTCTATGATGTTCCTGGGCTCCTTCTTCTATGATGCCCCTGGACTCCCTCTTCTATGATGCCCCTGGAGCCCTAGGTGTAGCGGTTGTGCTGTAGCTGTGTCAGTTGGGGCTGGGCACCCCATGTCAGTTGTTCTCTGCTTTTTAACCTGTGGTTGGTTTACAATTAGAAAAAAAGAGGGGGGTGGTTTCAGCCTTTCTAATTTTAATTGAGTTTCTGTGTATGTGCAGCATGCTTGTGTGTATTTGCAAGACATTCATACAGTGCTCTTGGAGGCCAGAAGGTGGTGTCAAATTTCTAAAACTGGAGTTCAGGTAGTTGGGTACTTCCTGATTTGGGGGTGAGAACTGAGCTCAGATCCCCTGCAGGAGCCTTAAGTGGTTTTACCTGCTGAGTTTTCTCTCTAGTCCCCAATGTTTTTTTTTTTTAATTTAGCATATTTTTTTAATTTTGGCCGTATAAACATTGAGGCATTTCCTCTGACATGTTATTTACATGATCTGACAGTGTGTTGAGATTTCTATGGCATAGCATAGAGTTTTCATAATTTCTAATGTACTTATTTCTCTGAACAAAGATACTCCCCAGCAAATAACTGCGGGTTTCCTTTCCTTCCTCTGCATGGCTTAAGACGGTAATCACTAAGACTGCACAGTTAAAACTGAAAAGTGTGCTTACAAAGATGCCTTTTAACTTTGATCACCCGAACCATGAAGACAGGCAGTTTGACGTATGTGTTGAGGACAGCCAAGAATAACTGTGCTCTCTACGCACCCCCCTTTCTCAGGTCCTTCTACTCCTGCTGGCCCATTCTGTCCTTCTTACAGGGCTGCCAAATCTGTTTCGTTTTTAGACTTAAATCTGTAACCACCAAGTATCTTTAGCGAGTCATTTAAGCTTTACAAGCCTGTTTCCTTATTTATAATATCAGTATCCTAGAATTTTTCCCAAGAATTCCACGAATGTGGAGACCCTTTTTTAAAAGTCAAAGTCCTTCAGAGACTATAAACTTGTCCTATGCCAGGCACCATACTTCTATATTTTGGTTCTTTCTCTCATGCTTTTGCAGTTTCCTTAGGAAGTCTTTACTCTTCCTCCCAGAGGAATTTCTTCTTCTAAGGACTCTTGCAGTTCCCATCTCTCTGGAAGGAGGGGCCCATAGAATCTTCAAAGCCACTGTCTTTGGAAAACAAAGACTTGTGGAGAAGTCCCTGCAAGACAGCATGGGGAATGAGACAGAAGAGAACGAGAAGAAGCAAGAATGGCTGATATTCATTATCAACGCGCATGCAGTGGTCCATGAATGGAACAATCAAACAGAGCCACACAAAGCTGTAGCGTGTATTGCAGGATGCTGGCTGCATAGGCAGCCGGGTTGATCCCTGCTATATAAGCACCATCCTGATATATTAGCTAATGTTAACACTTTTCTCTCCATCGCTGTGTGCTAATGAGCTAAAATGAATGAGTTCCAGTAAAAAGGAAACCCGGGGAAAGACCATACCAAGGTCTGCAAATGTACACTGTGGAGGAGAAACTTCCTAGGTGTCAATGCCAAGGGAAAGACCAGAGGTAGAGGTCTCAGAGCTCTTGTTCTGATGATCTCAGCAAATCGTGCTCCGTGACTCAGCCATTTTATTTTATTTATTTATTTTTTTTTTACTGAGTTCTCCAGGCATTTGCTGATAATTTACAAGCACCTAAGGGGGCAGATGTGCTAATCTCTGCATCCACCAATGTTCACTACAAGCCTGCTACAAAGAGAGCCTTCTAATGGGATTTAGGGATAGCTTTGGTCCACAGCACCCCTGGGAATGAAATTATGAACCTCAAGGCACCAACCTATGGATCTAGGATAAATGGATCAGTGGATAAAATCCAATCATTAAAATGTAGTCCTACGATGGAAGCCAGATCTTTAACAGCACATTGTAGGTATAAGAACCTAGGACTGGGCAGGAAATCTCTCCCGATTGTCGTCTACTTCATCACCCTGGGGAAAACAGCCTGGAGTGAAAAGTCCCATAATGGCAATCTAGCATACGTCATTAAATTGATATCGGTGGCTTGACAGTCAGAGTCACCCAATGAGTTTCATTTGGTCTGTTTATTGCATTTAAAGACCTGTCTGCTGTCATCTTTGCCCTTTAAGATATGAGAACTTGGCAGACATCACCTAAATATATCCACAAAGATGATTCTTGTTTGCTTGGGTAGCAGTGGATGCTCTTGGCTGAAAGAATTCTCTCCAAGATGTTTTTGTATCCTTGCCACTGCAGCATTCTCTGTGAGTTGTTGGATGTTTAACATCGTTCTAAGGATGTTAATGACCTTAATGAATGAGGACCACCCTCATTCAAGGAGAGGGTGGGTACACACAGGGTCTGGTCAGTTAGGATAGCCTAGAAGTACAACGACTTGGTCTATTTTAGAGCAGGGTGGGCCATTGCCTGTGCACGTGGGCAGTACGGCTGTCCCCTGTGGGACTCCAGCATCCTTGAGCCCGGGGGCACCGCGAGTACTAGTCATTGTGCGCTGTAGAAAAATCAAAGAATTCCAGAGCGAGGCCCTGGAATGCCTGGCTGCCTCCCAGGTCTCTTATGAAGAAATAAATCCCATTGTTGCCTCTACCCCCCCTTTCCGTGCACTGGGTCGGAGTCGGCGGCGCGGAGTCGCTTACTGTACCAGCACCTCGCTAGCTCTAAGGAGGTGGCTGGGCCACTCCAGGAAGCTCGACATCTAATAACATAAACTCAGAGGGCTCCCCACATTCATCTTCTACACAGACCCGCCTGTCCTGCCAACGGGCCAGTGCTTCGTGACTCTCCTCATGCTCCGGAGGGCTGCGTGGTCACCCTTCTAGTTGTTTTTTGAACCCATCCCAAGCTTGTGTCAAAAACGCGGGTGATGGATTCCCCGTGCCATCAGCGCGAGCCATGGAATAGAATATATCACACATTTACGCCACATGGGCTGGTAAACAACACAGCGTGTACTCGACTTCATAAACACGCTGCCTTGTTACAAAGACCGCTGCAAATGCAGTGTGATAGGACTTGACCTTAAAAGCTATCGACAATCTAGCCCAGCACAGACGGTTTCGTGGAGTACAATCACTTCCTGGAATTCTTGGGCCAGCGAAGTCGGAGCCGAGCAAATCCTGTTTTCCTTGCATTGTTTCCTGCATGTGAATATCATCAGTCTACCAGGTCTGTAACCATGGCACTTGTAAATAGCCCAGGGGTGACTTCTGATAAAGGCATGCCCTGTAAGAAGATTTTTTTTTCCCTTTTCGTAGACAAGACCACATCAAACCCTGCAACTGTGTCAAGAGCAAAACTGACAAGTTTCAGAACCACATACAGGTCCAGATCCTTTATTAAATCCCACACATACACAAAAGATCAACAAGAATACCTATAGAACTGAGGATGGGGGAGCTGTGTTTCAAGACCTGAACCCCAGATTTCCTCCGTCTATTCAGAGCAGCCGACACTCACCAAGAAGAACAGGAAACTTGACACTTGATTTTCATTTTTTACCTCCTCCAGGCTGAGAAATCCTTATTGTTCATCCTTCAGTTTCTCCCAACAGTGGGAAGGGGAGAGACGTCAGTGCTGCTCTCTGGAATATCCAATTTGGGAATTTTAGTCTTAGGTCTGGGAAGGTGGCTCAGTCTATGAAGTACCGGCTACAAGCATGGGGAACCTAGCCTAGTTCCCTATAACTATGTAAAAAGCCAGGTATGTGGTTCTGCAATTTCAATGCTGGGAAGGGGTGGGGTGTAGGCTATTGGATAGCTAGCTTCAGGTTCAATGAGAGATCAGGTACAAAAATATTGGAGGGGGAGTGTTATCTTCCAAAGACACTCAGTGCTTGTTTTTGACTCCATACAACCTGACACACACACATACACAAATGTATACACATCACACATTCTCACACACAAATACTCATACACACACACACGTGTGCGTGCCACCCACTTGCACACAACCACACTAATATTTGTGTGTATGTGTGCATGCATATATATATATATATATGAGTGTGTATCTATCTATCTATCACCTATCTATGTATACACACACACATGCATACACTCCCACATACACGTTGCATCACCACCTCTACACAAAATCTAATAGAAAAAACAACAACTGTTAGCTTTCAGGGATTTGACCTGGCTTTGGGAAATTCCACACCAATTTTATTGAACATATGTCAGGTTTGTGCTTTCATGTTGAGTTGATATAAAGAAGAGGCTGTGTCAAAACAGGCCGCTCTGAAAACTTCCCCCAAACTGAAGACACTCTTCTCAGCTTTCTTTAAATGCCTTCGTATATAAAATTTACACCTGGCCAACTTGTCTTGGCTCTTCAGTTCTGTATGTGATTCAGATATCAGTTGCATTAATGACTCTGGTTAATTTTTTTTTGGCAGATTTAAGACATGGTAGATATTGGGCAAAGAGTTGGTTAAAGGGTTCTGAGCTGAGGAAGATGCCTTAGGGAGAGCAAAAAGGAGAAAAAGAACTTGTAAGGATGGCCACTTATATTTAATTTTTTTATGATTCAGGAAGTTTTGTGACAGTTTAAAGTCATTTCTACTTCAAGTTTTAATGAAAATTGGTAGTGTCTGTCTGTTACTTATACCTGAACTTCCAGGGTCAGTTCCATGCCTTTGGGAAAATGAAACCTTCCATTAAGCTAAAGTATAGTACATGGCGAATGCAGAGTGAGTTGGGACCTTAATGAACAATGCAAGTCTCAGTTTGACCCTTTATCTTAGAAATGCAGCTTTCATATGTACAGTGTGTTGATCTGCTTCAGCCCTTCACTCTGCCTCTTGGATGACCTATGGTTTGTTCAAACTGTATAATACTTCGGTAAAGCAATCAAGACTCAGAAAACTCTTGGGTTAAAGTCACATATTAGTAAGAGACTAAGTCACCATAGGAATCCAGATGATCATGGTTTCTGGATAATTTTACTTAGGGTCAAGGATGCAATCATTAATGACTGATAGCAGAGCCAAATGTTCTGAGGAACCTGAAAGAATTGGGTGTGACTGGTTAAATCCAGAACTCCTGGGTGGAAGAGAATGCGGGTCAGCATCAAAGAATGGCCCTGAAGTCTTGAAGCCATGCTTTATGTAATTTCAACTCGGTTTCCCTTCTTCAGGCCTTTTCTCCTTGCTTGACTTGTAAAATGGTCACTATTGTGTCAAATGACTAAATCCCTAAGTATTTCTTTGATTTGAGAGTGTTTTATATTTTGTGTCTTGAACTCAGGAACCCCAGCTGCCTTTGCCTCCCACCAATAGGATTAGGGGTATGTGCTAGCATACCTGGCAATATTTGGTTTCTTTATGGGAGGCCAACAATTCCTCATTGATTTGGAGCAAAAGAATAAAACAGAAATTCTACACACAGAGAGGTATAAGTTTTATTATGTTGATATTCTTAGCCACCTCCATTGCATGACTTAGGGATCTAACTATGTCAATTCTCTTTCCATAGGGCAAAAGGCCTGCGTTTTCAAAATACAGAAGTCGCCTCACCTGGTGAATTTTTACGGAACTCCTAGCAAGGGTAAGAAGAGGATGGGAGATACATTCTGGTGCACCTTCTGGTCAGCAGTGCTTGTTAGTGTCTTGTCACCATATTTCCTGCAACATTGAAGTGGCATCCCATAGTTTGTCCTTCTGATAAACATTAACGACTTCCTCAATGGCAGAGGGGAGGGGCACAGACCATGATTTTGGAACTGAGCTTGGCTGTATTTACTTTGTATTAATCATTTTGGGAGATAACATATCTCCTTTTCATGAGGGTCCTCAAGGGACCACAGGCATACAATGTCACTTCATACCACACAAACAATGCAACACAGAAGACTCCTTCTAGCATAATAAACAACCCACAGGCCCTGTGTTCTTGACATTGACAATGGTTTTTCAAGTTAGATCAAAAAGGGGCTTTTTTTTTTGGTCTTGGTGTCTGTCTGAACAGGGCAAAAAGCCAAAAAGCTCCATCTAGTGAATCAGTACAGCAGACCTGCAAGCTCGAAGACTAAATGAATTATGTTACTTGAGTGTGGAAAGCATTTCTTCTTGAGTGTGCAAGGCATAAGGAAATTATCTTAAGTGTAAGCTCTGGCAGGTAAGTTATAGTTTCAATTGCTTTTCTTCTAACAACCTTATTAGGCCTTGTTGAATATCAACCAGCTGAATAAAGAAATAGGATTTGAATTATCTACTTAACCACAGCATGTCTTTGAAGGCATATTAACTGTAACTTTTAACTCCTGAGTAACTGTATATAGATGTTTTGGGTAGGCTCTTCAGGGGGCTTGATTTTTCTTTTAAAGAACAATAGTGCGACTGACTGACTTCTTGAAAGCAAATGGCCTTAGATGCAGAACCTCACTCGTATTCTGGTGATTAGTTGATTCCTTGGGGGAAAATATTACTATTTCCATTCTGTACATAGGATAGGAAAGCGCTCAACCGCTGAGCTACATCTCTTGCCTAAAATTTGAACCCCAACATCTGGCATTTTATTGCTCTAAATGAAGGATTGTTGGCTTGCTGTGGAGAAAGTAGATGTGTAGAATATATCCACTTAGATAACAGCATTCACACTGTAGGGTGGACAGCGAGACAAGGCAAGGGAGAAGCAACGTCCCATGGAAATCATGTATCTTTGTGATGATGTGGTTCCATTTCTTTCCCTATCCCTGACTCACAGTCTCTTCCACCCATGTCCTCTGGTATTTCTCCAGGTTCTTCAGAAAATTCATTTCTTGTGTCAGTTGCCAATAGCCTGGCACTGGAATTGAAGTCTAAATACTGAACAAACAGTCAATGGTTTCCACAGCAACAGCCTAACTCCATCTAGTCCTATTTTTCAATTTTTGAAAATATTTTTTTATATATATAATTAATCATGAGTGTCCACCTGATGAGACTGAGCATCACTTAGGAAATAACCCTCTGCCTGGGACTGTGCAGATATTTCTAGAGGGACTTAACTGAGGAGAGAAGAAGAAAGGCATCGCATCTGGAGCACCAGAGTTCCACAGTCAATACAAAGGAGAACATCTGCTTCTTTCTCTGCTTCCTGACTGCAGATGTGATGTGATCTTCCACCCAACATTCTTGATGCCATCCTTCCCCACCATGGTGGACTGGATTCTCAAACTGTGAACCAGAACAAACCCTTCCTTCTCCAAGTTGCTTTAGCCACATAGATGAGAAAAAGAGCTAATATATACCTATTATACAGTTTTCCTCTAAAATAGTTCAAGCATTATTTTGTCCTTCCCACAAAAAGAAACAAAGATTTACTCAGTCCTAAAATTTTATTCGTAGTCATCAACACTGTGATGGTGGTGCCAATTTGACCGACGTAGACTCACCTAGGAGACAGATCTCCGAGCATGCCTATGGGGGATTATCTAGATTATGTTAGTTGAGGTAGGAGTACTCACCTCAACTGTGAATGGAATCATTCCTTGAGTTGTGGGCCTGGACTGAATAAAAAGGAGAAGGCAAGCCTGGTCATCCATGCAACATGGCTGTACATGCTGCATGAGCTTCTGCTTCAAGCTTTGATGCTGTGATTTCCCCAGCCATGTGGACTATATCCTCAGGCTGTGAGCCAAAACAAACCTTTTCTCCACTAACTTGCCTTTGTTGGAATCATTATCACAGCAACAGGAAAAGTAACTAATACAAACCTTATTCTCTGTTTACGTCCTTCTTTCTGTTTATGAAAAGGACTGGTGTAGGATATCCTTCTGTATTTATGTTGCTTTCATTGGTTAAATAAAGAAACTGCCTTGGCCTTTTGATAGGGCAGTACTTAAATAGGCAGGAGGACAGAACTGAATGCTGGGAGGAGGAAGGCAGACGGAGAGAGCTGCCATGAAGTTGCCAGATCAGAGACGCTAAATCTTTCCCGGTAAGCCACAACCTCATGGTAATACACAGATTAATGGAAATGGGTTAGATCAGGATGTGAGAGTTGGCCAAGAAGAGACTAGATGCAATGGGCCAGGCAGTAATTAAATTAATACAATTTTTGTGTGGTTATTTTGGGTGTAAGCTAGCCAGGTGGCGAGACGCGGCCCACTCCTCCTACAACAAAGGGCATTCTCACAACTCTCTCTTCTGGCATTCATTGGTGATTTATTTACCAAAAGTATGTAATAGAGTCATGATAGTAATATTGGATAATGAGAAGCAATTGAGATTTGTCTACAGTTAATATGGACCTCACTCTTTGGTAAAGGAGTTAGGGCAAGAGACCATATGTGACGAGAACACACATTTGAAAAGGTAATTGATGTGGGAAACCCTTCTGTGTTCTGTGAATATGTTTTATTGCCATTGGTTAATAAAGAATCTAATTTGGCCAATAGCCAGTCAGAATAAAGCCAGGAGGAAAATATAAGCAAAGGTAAAGGGAAAAAGAAGTTGGAGTCAGGGAGACACCAACAGCCACTGGAGAAGCAAGATATGAGGTAACAAGTCATGAGTCATGTGGTAAAATATAGAATAATAAAAACAGGTTAATTTAAGTTGTGAGAGCTAGTTAGTAATAATTCTGAGCTAATAGGCCAAACAGTTTTTAATTAATATTAAGCCTCTTAGCTTTTATTTGGAAAGTGGCAGGCAGGAGAAAAACCTCCAGTTACAGGCAATCACCCAAGAGACATGACTAAAATATTCAAGAAGATTTCATTTAAATATTAATAGATTTAATTGCAAACTCAAGCCATTTAAAAGTCTGGTATCATATTCTTTAATCCCTTATGGTGCTTTTGATTCACATTTGAATGGGATCCCTAATATACTACCTGTTCAAGGAAGCAACCAATATTCTATTTAAACACATGACTTCTCTCATTCACTATTAGCAGTTGGAGTTTCTTATAGCTTTCTGAATCATCACTAGTCCCAATTAGAGGAAGACGAATAACATCTCATCAGCAGAGAGTATCTGGACAAACTCTGAGGGCATTTGCACAACTTATAAATACAGTCTCACAAACAGCCATAATAGAAATGATCTTGAGTCAACAATCAGAAATACCTCTTTGACATCATACTTTTGAAAGAAACCTTTGTACAGCTGAGGTCTGACCTGAAACATAAAAATTATTTGCAAAAGTTCCTTCCATCCTCCTCTGTTTCCAGTCAGGGCTATCTATGGCCTGAGATGGTTGATGTAAGCTCGGCAGTGGGCCCAACTTCCTTATGGGAACTCACATAAGAAGGATGGTTCTGATAGAACCTGGGTGGTAGAATGGCTAGCTCACCCCATAACATTGACTGTCTCAAACCTTTAGAAATAGAAGCCTTCCATTGCTTCTAACTCATGGCACTGTGTCTGGCTTCCTGGCTCTCATTAATTCTGTCCAAGATGTTGGAAACAAAGAGGTATCATTCTTAAACAAACAAAGAATATTTATTTCAGGCAATGTTAGGAAATCCTTTGAAAATCATGAATCGGTAATGTCATTACTGCACTGTAAGAAATTAGAGAGAGGCAAAGGTTGAAGAAGAGGTGCTGTTCCTTCTATCTCTACCTCAGTAGTTCATATTTCCTTCTCGTGGATTTTATTCCACAATTGACACACATTAGCCTCCTTATAGCATCAAAGATTGAAACTATATTCTCTGTAGATGTTAAAGTTTGCAGTTATTGGTGTGGCCTCGAAAAACAAGGGTGGGCCCTGGTTCTGAGACTTTGAAGAAGAAATGAACCATTTGCTAATCTTTAGCACCTACTGACCCTTAAATAGGAATGCAGTTGAAGAATCGAATAAGTGATGATGTGTCGAGAACATGACCGGAATCAGCTTGACCAAGATTCAGAAAGTTACATGGAGCTTCATGTATGACAGATGTTCCCTGAGATAATCTGGCAATGAATACAGATTCGGGGCTGACATAGAAGGCACAAACATACTTGGAATAAGATAACTGCAACTGAGGACAATGGAAGTAATATGAATATTCTCTTTTCCTTAAAGTGTTTGACATAGTATCTGTTAGTTTAAGAACTTGGGTGGCTCCTTTCTGACGTTTTGGCTATTTCAAATAAAAATACAACTCTGAAGAGTCCTTGCAATGACACGGTCTCCGTGTCTGTTCTGCATAGTTTCATCATTACAACTGCTAGCTATAGGCTGAAAAATTATTGTCAGTTTTTTTTCTCCTTTTCATTAAACCACATCTGGAACAAGAATAAACAAATATCTTTGCACAGTGATGAATTGGATCTCATTTTGGCTGATTCAGGCCTGGGCGATGGCTCTCAAATTCTTGCCTTTGAGTCTGAACCTGTTGAGTCATCAGAAACCAGCCATGCCAGGGTGCTAGATGCTGGTGGAGTGGAAATTCAAGGCCACTGAAGGACCCAGAGCAAGAAAATATTATGTTCTGGGTTACCTGGGAGATGAGCACATTTCAACTTGCCTACACATGCATGAAAAGAAAATAGGAGGTCTTTCAACTCCTTCACAAATCTCTCTCCTGGTCATGAGAAATCAAAGACCATGGATGACACCGGTTAGGGTCAAGTTTTCTCAAACTCACATGTTAGCCCAGCCCCGGGTTCAATAGAGGGAGGAATAATCGTACTATATAAAAATACTGAACTCAGAATTAAAAGTATGGTCAAAGTAATCTAGGTGTTCTTGACTTCATTTAAAAATTTGATAACTTTATCATCTTTGTTCAACAGCAGCCTGGGAAATACATAATATATGGCTTAAACTACTCTTTAATCAGCTGACCTATACCTTAAAATCTCTTTCGTGAACATTTCAGTAATTTTATCTTACTTTTAAAGACATATTTTGCTGTCCAGGCTGACCTTGAACGACTGATTTCAAGTGATTCTCTCATTTTAGCCCCCCTATAACTAGGACTTCAGCTGTGCTTTACTATGCCCGGTGAACACCGGAGGGTCTTCAAGGAATCAAATGCAGCTTTCCGTGAAGAATCTTCCACTTGCCAAGGGACACCTAAAACATATAATTGATTTCCAAAAATTTCAGACCTGCTCCTCCAGCTGTTTCATCGAAGTCGGTTCTGTGAGTCAAGTGCACCCAGTTTCATGACTTGCTCTGAAAGTGCTAAAGAGGAGGGGTCTACCACATTTGCCACAAAGATGTGGTGCAACTTAGTTTATCAATTCAGTATTAGACAAAATTCTCACTAAAGAAGCAATGAATGCAATTTATATTCTTTCTTTAATGAATCAGGTTCCTCCACAGAAGCAATAAGAATCATCCCCAACCATCTTGGGAGATCTTTATTACCTTATGTCCTTTACTATAAAAGCATACGTATTTTGTCACTTTAAAGAAGTTACAAGAATACTTCTTGCTCATTCTCTCATTCTTTTCTTTAGGATAGAGATAGAGGTGTGAGAAGGTATGAGAAGAGGTTAACTGAATGAGAGATGATAATGGGTGATTTCAGAGATTTTTTTTCAAACTCTCCCATTTAAAGCAAAATAAAACAAAATTAAAATTTCAAAACAGCTCAGTTTCTGTTTATTGAGTGTGAGGTAGAATCTCCAATCTTCCTCAGGGCAAGGAGTAGAGAAGATGAGAGATTCACAGTTTCAAAAAGAATGTAGGCTCACACAGGTATATGTGTGTATATACATATTCGTCCAAGTTCATGACTGCCTGTGAGATCAAATCTGAACGTTCTGTGTCATCAATGGTAGCTACAAGCCAGCTGCTGCTTCTAGGCCTGCATCCCTGGGGTCATGGATGCTAAGGGGAAAGTCCAAGGGTTCTGGAATGGAGCATTAGATATCATTCCTTCAAAACCACATATGCTCCCAAAGCAGTCGTTTGGAAGAGGAGGTCCATAGATACTGGGCAAGAGACACAGAGAAATAGAAAGAAGGAAGAGTGCAGAGGACGGGGAGAGAAATGAACTGATACTAGAACATGGTTTTGTTGGGTATGAAACCCATTTCCTTCCCAGCATCAAAGATGTGCTCAGCCTAGGGTGTGTTGCCTGATACTGCTTTTCCTCATCCTTCAGAGGCGTGTCTTCAAATGTCTCCACAGTGCGAGTCTTGACTTGGGGATCTGTCGATGTTCGGGACCTGCTGTGTAGACGGCAAAGGAATCATCTTAGAAGTTGAAGGGGTTTGTTTCAGCGAATCCAGAACTGCTAGAAGTTCTTACTCAGAAGCATTGCATGTTGAACAGGTGCCCCTGGGCCATGGCTACTGGGCAGACTGTTCCCTATGGAAGAGGAACACAGCATACACAAGCCAGATTTCAAGCAGAACATGATCAACACGCGGTGGGCAGGACTTTCACAGAGCTCTGTCATCTGAACAGCGGGAGTCTGGATCAGACCAGTCAGCTTGATGCTGGCCATGACTGATCTGCTTCCGGGTGCCTGAGCAGGGCAACTCTAGAAGCGGTGGCGGGAGGTCATCAGAAGAAGCCTGTCTATCTGAATCTCTCTGCACAAGGGACCAATAGATAAGGGTTCACTTGTTACAACCAGCCAGTGACGATAGAGTAACACTTGACTCAGGTGAGTTCAGATGGTTATAATTAAAAAGCTCTAATCTTGGGGCTGGGACCACAGTTCAGAGGTAAACACCGTGATTTACCTCTAGCATGCATGCAGGAGTTGCTATATGTCTAGACCTTTACTATTTTTTAAATACATGTGTTACATTTATTTATTTATTATTTATTTATTTTACACAAAGAGAACCAGCAGAGAATAAACTTGCCACACAAGCCTGAGGACCCATGTGTACCTTATGACACATGTGCCTTCCTATACACTTGTACATCATGCTCACATAGATGTGTACATAGTAGTGATACACATTGAAATAAATTTAAATAAATTAAAATTCAAAATAAAAAATTTAAATTATCCTAAAGACATATGTACATTTGTATGGCATAAAAGATGGCATATTATAGAATGTGTAAAATAAACATGCAATCTTTTAAAAAACACATCCATATATGTGTACACACAGAGACACATGAACTATCAGACCTGTCTCCTCACATGCAAATATAATCACATATCACTTGATAGTTTGATATAGTTTGAGATTCATTGTATGAGCATAACTCATATGTATGGCATCCCACTCACAACATAATCTTTTGGAAGTACATAGCATATGTGTTGATCATTGATCAAACCATAATTAGACAGGACATGATCCTATGTGTAAATATATACACGTATATATCATCTATGTACAACTATACACATATTCATATACATACATATTTGATGGACATATTTACTTAACTAGAATTAACATTGTTATCAAATTTTTTAAGGAACAGGGAAAACTTGTTATAGTATATTTTTATTTTAGGAGTTTCATGTCTGGTAACATGGAAACCAATGTATAAATGATGTAATCAGGCCTGTATTCCTCTTCCACAAGTCTCTGTGTTATGGAATATTTGTATACTGTGTGAAAGTGTATTACTGTGATTTGTGTAATCAAACAATAAATGGTCAATAACTAGGCAGGATTTCCAATGGAGAGAAAGGATGGGGAGGAGGAATCTAGGCAGGCGAGAGAGATGTGAGGAGACACAGAGAGGAAACAGGAGGTGCAAGCACATTATAGAACACTGATTAATATAAATGGGTTAATTTCAGTTACAGGAACTAGTTAGGAACAAGCCTAAGCTATAGGCTCAGCTCTCATAATAAGAAATCTCTATGTCTTTATTTGGGAGCTGACTGGCAGGATAGAAAAAAACTCATTCCACCCTTGCCCTCAAATTCCAAAGAAAAAGCTGGTCAGGGTAAGACCTCATGAGTGAATCATTGTTATTTCTCTTCACTCATGTGTTGCATGTATTGGTTGTAGAAACTTTGGGAGATGACTAAAATATTCTTCACGATTCTTGAAATTGCTAAATCACTTAAGAGAATTCCTTAGGCATGAGTTCACACGTGTATTTAGAAGTCCAAAGATTAATGACCCAAACTGTAGCTGCAAGCCTAAAATAAAAGAGAGCAGGGATGAAACTACCCATAATTCATGCCTTAATGCTGAAGCAGGGTGGTGGTTTTTTTTTAACCTGGAATAAGAAAATATTAACTTCAACGAAGAAATAAAGAAGGAAGGAAGGAAGGAAGGAAGGAAGGAAGGAAGGAAGGGAGGGAGGGAGGGAGGGAAGGATGGAGAGAGGAAAGGAGGGAGAGAGGGAAGGAGGGAGAGATGGAAGGAGGAAGGGAGGGAAGGAATGAAGGTTCTTCCCTGTTCCAGAGAATGTGTTATATTAATTCCAAACTCAGCAAACAAGATATGAAGTCATGATTTCACCAATTATATTCTTATCTTATAAACCCTTTCCTCTGAGGCTAAAAGAAATAACTGCACTTGCTCATACGCTTACAACACTGTTGACTTTTTCTGAAAGTGATCTACCCCTCACACTCTTGGAGAGACAAGAGCTCCATAGTGCAAGGCCTTCTGAGAGAAAGCTGAAAATTCAGTATTTTAGGAGATGCAATACAGTCAGTAATTGAAGTCATCTTACACTTAGGAGACATAGAAAGGGTTCAAAATGTAAGTGTGGAAGCCAATTTCTGTTCTTGTTTATGTAGAGAATCAAAAAATGAAGAATCCAGTGCCAGCGCTCTCTCCCTCTCTCCCTTCCCCTGTATATGGGTGTGTGTGTGTGTGTGTGTGTGTGTGTGTGTGTGTGTGTGTGTGTG